GTATAACTAAACCCGTTGGCCCTGTTTGCCCGAATAGCTTCTGAGAACCGTTTGCAAAGACTTCGTGTTCCCAAAGCAATCAGTCAGAGACCAATAAAATTTGTTGTCAACATTTCTACTCCCTCTTTCTTTCTGTGAGTTCTTCAAATCCAGGAAAGTGTAATGCGTGCATTTGGTGCATGTGAGAAAAAAAATTTCTATGTTGTTTTTTGTATTATTTTTATAGTGGAGCATTTAAAAAAAACATCTTTATATGCCAAGTTTTTTATCTGATGAATGAACTCAGCTGAAAACATGTTTCTATCTTCTGTACATTTAAAAAAAAAAAAAAAAAAAAAAAAACCATAATGCTTTTTTAACCCTTTCTTGCATTTTTTAACCCCTTGTTGCATACAAATAATCTAGAGAAGTTAAACGAAAATGTTTGTATTTTTTTCTACTTAAATAACCTTAGTAATAATAAACAAATTAATTTTATTCAAATTTTGTTTTAAATAATTGCTACAGTTTGTTCACTACAGTGGACAGCATGCATGTACGTACATGCATACAAATCTCTTCCCAATGATTTATGATCATCGCATTTAAAATCATTTCCTGTCTTGTTTGCAGTGATCATTACCATCTTCTAAATGATAAATCTACAACTGACATGTACATACAGAAACCCCAAAATACCTTCATTTCGTCGATTGTGATTGAATTCATTTTGCTACAATTTTGTAACCTGTACCTATTGAATTCAAATGTCAAATGTTCTAGAAATTCCTTGCCAAACACAACCATTTCCAGTGGTGTTTTGGCTTGATAAGCAGTACATTTGGGTTTCAATTCACTCTTTTCGGTAGATCTTTATCTACCCACTCCAAAATTTTCTTAAACTGACACTTAAAATAAAATGTCTAAAATTACTAATTATGAATAAAAAATGGCAGTATAAGAAAATGTAAGCAATATTATATGATGTTTACTATGAGAAACTGTACTAATTTCGAAACAGAAGTAGCAGCCATTTTCCAAATAGCAATGCTGTACTTAGTGATGCTATACAGCCATCTATGACCAACAGTGGAAAGTTCTAATAATATAGAATGAATAAATACAGGAATGGAATCTGTTAAGGCATTTATAGAAGAATAAACAATTTAAACTTTTCTACTAGAGTGGACATGATGCAACAAAGGGTTAAGTGAATTAAATTCTTTTTGCGCTCTTATTACATTTTTCTAAATTTTTCGATTCCTAAATTTTTCTGTTCCTCTTTTCTTGTAACGCACAAGCAATTTTTTAAATATGAGTGAGACCTGAGCGCTAAGTTCGGTAAAGTCGCAAAAGACGGTAATTTGAAGGAGTTCAAATCTAGGCAGATGAGTTAATTGTAGGGGAGCTTTCGTGGTGTTCCCGCATGTGAACGAAATACAAATTATTTCCCTTTAAATGTCATTTACGAGACGTGACTCTTTTAGTCATATAATCCTCAAGTGTTGTGAAGAATTCTAATCTACATTTTTATGGATTAGATTTGATTGGATTATTCAATTACGGCAAAGCACATGAGGGCTATCTGCCTAAAAGGAGGGATGACTTCGTGGAGGACATACTAAGGGAAACTGGCTCGTATACATGTTACACATGGGGAAAACGACGAAAACGCCCATGCAACCAGCCCGTTCGCGGGATTCAAACCTTGGACCAAACTACCAGTGCTCAGCGTCTTTACCGCTCAGCCACTGGTGGGCCCTAAATTTTTATGATATAAAATTTCATATAAATTTATTCTACCTGCCGCTTTTGAGTACATTATATTTATGAATGCAAACCTGCGATTAATATTGAGAATACTTTTGATGCATTTGATGTTATAATTAATACTGAAAATAATGTTTAAGATAAAACCATCAGTTTGAACCCTTTTTTATAATAAGGTAACATGCGGCAAAGATTTCTCGACAAATATTTTGGATTAAAGCACACAGGGGTTACTTACCTAAAAGAAGAGATTTTTTTAGGAAAACAGGCTGGTAATTCACAATACATTTATGAAAAACCCCGAAACCTCCCATGCAGCCGCTAGGATTTAACATGCTCAGCTATCTTACCTCTCGACCGTTACTGGGCTTTCTCAGCTTGCAAAATATGTATTTTAAGTTGATTATTTACATAACAGTAGAATAAAATAAAATGACAGATTATAAATAGTGCATTTTACTGACAAAAGGTTCTTCGAAAAAAATACTGTAAAGAATAAGAACGATGCAGTTACCTTAACGGCGGCCGATAAGGAGTGCTGGTGCATATGTTTTTTCAGAGAAAATTATTTTGCTCGTGTTGTCGTAAAACGGAAAAATATTCATAAATTATTTTTTTATAGTTGTTAAAATAGTCATGGATTATCTGTTTTAAGAGAATATCTTCTTAGAAAATTTTCAAAATGAAATTGGCTTGAATTCACATTACGCATGGGGAAAATTATAAAGACACCAAGCCGCTAACCTGTTCGGTTGCCAGCAACAAATCCAGGACAAACATCACACATCCAGCATTCTTATTCACTCAACTGCAGTGAACTTAAATATTTGTTTGTATATTATTATTAGTATTAAAATAATAAAAATATTTACTCTAATAAAAACTGTTGTTTAAGACATTTTCTTTGGTTAGGGATTTCATGTGAATAATTAAATCTGCGTTGAAGCAAGACAATTTCTTAGAACTTAATGCTTCAAAAAATTGAATGCTGGGATTCCTAGGAAAGAAATTATCCTCAAAAAATATATTCCACAAAAAATTTTGAATCTTATTCTTATAATGACTTCTTAAATAATTAATAATTGTTATAATTATTAAATATAATGCTTACTTATTTTTTACAAAAAGAACAATAATACCCTTTATTTACAAAAATACCATATTCAACAACTGTATTGTAAGCGAATAAATAACAACATTGCACTGTTTCTTATTAACTATGTGTCATTTTTCCTTTTCAGCTTTCTGTTTATAGGATAATGTTTTTAATCCTTTTTCAGACAAAGTGTACTAGTGTTTCAAGGACAGGAAGGCAAGAATTTTTAAACTCAGTCAATAAATTCATGATCAACTGAAAATTCATAAAGACTGTTCGGGTTAAAATTCCCTTTCAGAATAGAATAGTGTATATAAAAAAAGTGAAATGCAAATTTTAAATTGATATTATCACCGTTTCAGCCCTTAAATAACTCCTAAATGTTTTGTTTATTGCTTTTAAAAACAGATCAGATGTTTAAAAGTTAATACCGTAATGTTTGTATTAAAAAATCTCGAAATTATTGCTTAAGAAAAAGCGGAAACCAAAGGCATTATTATTATCTATTTAGTATACCAAGGGCACGTTTAATTTCTTTGAGATCGAGAAGATATTAAAAAAAAAAATGTTTATGCTATATCCTGAAATCACTTAATTTTTTGTTTTCATAAATCAGATGAAAAATAAGTCACATTTGAAACCCATCCTTTTTCAAAACAGCTATCCACGTATAATCATAAAAATCTTTTTTTTTTTTTTTTTTTTTTCGCCCTTGAAATTAAGACATTCAGTTACCAAATTTTAGCTCGCTGAATATTTAACTTTACTTAAAAAAGCATATTTGTATACATTTTTACGTATATATTGTTCATTCAAAAAACGAAATCTTTCCAGAAAATAACATCCGTTTTAAAAACTAAGTAAATTTCAGCATTAAATATGCCTGAAAAGTTAAAATTTTGAAATCTCCTTAATATTTAACTAGAGTTTATTTAAAGAGCAAGTTTAAAAGTCACATCAAGTTAAATTGATTAAATTTGGCAGAAATAATAAAACAGATGTTTTTCAGAATAATTATACAAATATTATGCTAAATATGTATAAAATATCTATCTATAAATATCTATAAAATCTAATAAATATCTAAAAATAAAAGAAATTATTTAAAAAATTAATATCTGCATGTAAATGAAGAACATAGAAAAATGTTGAAAGATTTAAAGATTTTTAATTTATGACAAAAACATAGAAAATCAGAAATAGTATCAAATGCAATCGAACTATAAATATTGCTTTTCAAATGTTTCAGGAATCTCACAGAAAGAATGAATATTGCACCAGATATTTTTAATATGGATTTTATTAATAGCAGTTTAACCAATCTGCATTGAAATTCATATGATAATCAATGACCCAGAGATTTAGGTAATTTAGATTAAACATTAATAATAATTAAAAAAAGAGCGGGTAAATTTTAAAGCCAAGTTGTTTCAAAGTAAGAGGAAAGAAAACTTTTAAGATAGTATTCGCACGTGTACCATTCATAAAGTCATCATGGAGAAACGAGTCTTTTGCAACTTTCACCCTTGATCAAGTGTTCTGGGAGAGGAAAGAACTAACAATAGCAATAGCTGGCATTTATGGAGGTTTAGGGTTATTTTCCCGACATTTTAAGGGAAGCTTGGTCCAAAATTAGTGACATTTTTAAAGGTATTCGTAGAAAATCACTCGACAGGCTAAGGGTTAAAGAGTACAGGTGGGGAGTGATGTAGAAAAAAGAGGTACAGGATGCTGTGCCACCCGTATGATTAGCTAATTAAACGTTTTCACCAGAGAGAGTTGAGAGGTTGACGAGAGTGGTATAAACTAGATATCCTGTAATCTGTATATAATACTTGTACATAGTCTTTGATTTATAAATAGCTTTAGTTAAAGGAAAGTGTCTTTATTTGGTATCGTAACATATCAAGATCCACCGATGCCGCGTATGGAATATTGAGTAAGTTATTACAGTATCATATGCTTCAGTGATCATTTCTAGTGACAGTGAGTTAGATAATGTTATAATGAGATAGGAACAATAAACATAAATAATGATCATATAAAAAAACAGGAATTTTTGACATTGTGGCAAATAGTCTTGAAACTTTGCTTGTATTTTTATTAATTTTATATACTTTTATTTTGTGTATCATACGGTTGTGTATAATTGTAGGTTACTCTTGAAGAGCTGAACTTGGGCAAACTAAGACCTCAGATTGTATCAATGGCTGTAAGCCTTGCAATGGAACGTAAACCATCTCAACGAGAGATGACATCTGTTCTTCTTTCTGATATGTATGGGCAGATACTTCAACAGGAAGATATAGCTGCTGGTTTTGATTTGTTGTTGCAGAATTTACCTGACCTTGTTCTTGATACACCTGATGCTGCAACTGTAAGTGTAAAATCCTGTATTTTTTAATGATCTTTGTTAGGAATATGCAAGCATATTTCAGAGCAGCTAGCTATAACTTCAGAAATTTAAATTTCTAAAGAGATGTATTGAATATTGCTGAGGACCACATGGTTCCTTTAATTTTATGTATATTTTTAGTGAAAAAAAAATTGAAATTTTATATTTTTAATTTCATATATAAATTTTATTCTTCAGTGAATAAAAAATGCAATGTTTTATTATCAAGCAGGAACCAATGAAGAACTGATATAAAAATTAACTGTGAAAAAAAACCTGGCAGAAAATATTTTACTGCCTTGCTAGTATTCTTTCTTAAATGTTTCCCAAGTCTGTTTTGCCTTTCTGCTAATTTCTGAACTAAACAACATATAACAAAGTGCAGCTGCACGTTTTATTATTATTATTTACAAAAATTTAGTCAGAAGTTTATGGTTGGAAATTAAGTTTAAAGGATTTCAAATTTTTTTTTAATTCCTTGATTTAGTAACTTTAATTTTTTATTGCATGTTAATGAGACTGCTTCACGTAGTCTACATTCATAGTTATTGGTAAACAGTTCTCTTATACTAAGTCACATTGCATTTAATATTGTGTGTTTTTTTATGTTCTAAATTTCAAGAATTAAAAGCAGTAAAGATAAGAGATTTTTAATTATGCTGGAGTCGCTCAAAAGTAATTCCTGGATTCTAAAGCTTTAAATAATAAAGGTAATACGTAATATATTCGGAAATTAAGTACCGTTTCATTCTAGCGCCGTCGCAGCACTGTGGTAGGCGTCCCGCACATGCGCACTAGTCTTTCTTGTTCACTGACTTTCAATTGTCGCCATTTTGGTTGCTCTATGTTGTGTTTTCAGTTTGCTGTGCACATTCAAAATGTTTAAGACAATTAGTTCTCCTGCTGACTGTGAGATTCGTGCCGTGATTAAATTTTTGATCGTGAGGAATGTTAAACCAGCCGAAATTTATCGTCAAGTGACAGAAGTTTACGGTGAATACACGATAAGTGATGGAATGGTGAGAAAGTGGGTAAGAATGTTTAATGCAAGTCGAACAAATGTCCACGCCGAGGCTCGGAGTGGTCAGCCTTCTGTTGTCACCGATGATTTGGTAAGGAAAGTTGATGAAGCAATTCATGAGAACAGACGCCTCACAATGACAACTCTTTCAGAGGCATTTCCACAAATTTCACATACTGTTTTGTTCAAAATTGTGTCTGACCGCTTGAATTATCGCAAACTGTGTTCCCGATGGGTTCCAAAAATGCTCACTGATGTTCACAAAACAAAGCGACTTGGTAGTGCCCTGACATTTCTCACGCGGTATAGTGATGAGGGAGAAAACGTTTTAAACCAAATTGTGACAGGTGATGAAACTTGGGTGTGTCATTTAACACTAGAATCGAAACAACAATCGATGGAGTGGAGACACACTCATTCTCCGAAAAAACAAAAGTTCAAAGTGACAATTTCATCACAAAAAATGATGTGCACTGTCTTCTGGGATAGGAAAGGCATTTTGCTTACTGAATTTCTTCCCAGAGGTGAAACCATTAATGCGACACAATATTGTGAGACTTTAACAAAACTAAGGCGTGCCATTCAAATCGTGAAATTTGAAATCGTGATTTATGAAATAAAGAAGCATTTATGATCTAAAGGGTATTAAAATTTACAAAAAAAAAAAGCTAATATCGATTTATTTACTTTATTAAACATTTCTTTAAATATATGTTGTTTAATTTGCTTCACTTTTTGTGCTAATACTTTCTCGTTAATTTTATAGAGTGACATAATTTCTTGTTCAGTTATAAAGTTCTATTGTTCAAGTAATGTAATTGCTGTGTCAAGAATTCCGACTAACTCATCAATCGAAATTTTTTCATTTTCAATAACCTTTTTGTCACTTTCTTTACTATCAGTAGCTTTATTTTCTGGATCAAGAACCATACTACAGATTTTGCCATCCGTTAAATGACTGATGATTGGGGCATTGTCATCGCAATGCAAAATTTCTGTTATATCATCTTAATTTATTACTGTATCTCCACATTTCATTGCAAAATTCCATTAAGTGGAAAATTTCATCTTTGATTTGTGATATGTGAAAACCTTCAAATTCCCGGGTATCATCTTCATCATCCTCACCATGAGCCTGGAGACACATCCTCCTACGATCTTGTGCTACTCCACACAGCAGATTTTATGCTAAAATATTTCAAACATTATTGAATATTCTTGCTATGGCTGCTTTCAGGGCCTCATCGTCCAGTGCTTGTGGCCGACTGCTGTGTTGTGCATCACTAAAAGACATATCTTTTGACTTGAACTTCTGGAACCATTGCCTAAAGGTTCATTTGTTAATGACATCATCCCCAAAGGCCTGGAAAATTCGGGGACTTGATTCTGCCACTGACAGGACCACTTAAAAATCATGCAGCAAACACCAAACAAGCCCCTTTGACACATCCATCACAATCAGTGTCTGTGTGAGTTATGTTCAAAGTACCGATGCAACACACTTTTATACTCTTGGTCAATGTCTAGATTTTCATCCTAACCACTTCATAGCCAGTTTTGGTCACTATTTTTATGTTCGAGGTTCACTCTTCCAATGTCATATCAGAAACGGCAAGAAACACTAAAATTTCTTGAAACTAGGCTTTGAGAATTCCACTTTACTTATACCGAATTAAAGATTTAATAGTTCTTGCTAAAGTCTCTTTGTGTCAGACCTGCTTTGTTTCTCAAAAAAAATATTATCATCAAATTTAATTAAGGATTAGCTATGGGAAAATATCTCTGTGTCTTGTATTTGGCCACATTTACGTGCATTATATTGAGGTCAAATTATTTGGAAACTTTTTCATCTCTGCATTCACAACATAGGCAGCAAGCACTTGTGTGCTTTTTGATGGTCATAAATATGATTTGTCCCAGATTTCATCCTTTATAAATTCAATTAATCCCATTCACTTTTGAAATGAAATCTGATGATGCTCTTACTTTTCATGATATTCGTATAAGCTGCAGTGAATCTGATTTCAGCACTACTGTTTAAATCTTTTTTATTTGTTTGCCTCCCCATGCTAATCATCATCCAGCCAAGCAAAAAATGGCTTCTTTCTACTATTATGTATTTCTCCCTCTCAGAGTTTGCTCCTCAGAATCTTTGCTTTCTAATGAATTCTGGATTTGAAATCAGTTTCCATTGACAGAGGTATTTTTTTTTCCTCCCATAATCATTGATAAATAAAGCCTTTAGAAAATTTTCATCTGGATGTCACAGAAGACATTCTGATGTTGGAAGTAACATGAATAACCTTTTCATTTTTCCTGCTTATCCTTCTGTTGGTTACAAAATTCCATGGCTTCTCTAGAAATTCAATTTTTAAGTCATTTTTCTCACCTATCAATAAATGCCATTGTTCGATTCTTTAACATTCCATTTCTGACTTTAATGCTGGAGAAAATATCATTGGCTGTCAATGTGGTTTCAGATATATCAGCAAATTAAAAGAGCATTGAAAGTTTCCCATCGGAACGTGAATCTTACGTTTGAAAAGAAAATAAGCAAATCTTCAAGAGCTTATCATAGTTGGAAATTTATTCACAATTTTGACAAAAATTATTGAGGAAGCTTCTTCAGTTGCTGAACTGGATTTCCTTGAAGCTTTTTATCCTGTTTAGTTAATGACTGAAAAATTTAACTTGTTTAATTAATGACTTTAATATCATCCCAGTCCTTCCTAATGCTTTTAAATTTCTGTTAACTTAATTTTTCATGTTGTTGCTGTTTCTCTGCTGTCTTCTTATTTGCTCTTTAGAAATCTGTCCACGAAGGTATCCCTTCCCTTAGGCAGATAGCCTTCGAGTGCTTTGGCATAATTAAATATATTATACCTTCTTATTTGCTTTACTTTGCTTTTAGTACAAATACGGCTGTGGCTCCTCCCTTCATTGCAAAATTTCTCTGCTCCTGATGAAAAGGAACCTGTACCTCTTCAACTTTGAAGTTATTAGTCTTGGTTAAATTCTGTGACAGACACAAAGTTGTTGCTTTGCCTAATTGTATATTTTACTTTACTGTGTTTCTCTTCTCTCTTGATAAGAATGCAGTTAAGATTTTGCCTAAATTCCTTTCCCACAGTACAGCAGTTTGCAATGGCCTTGACCAGGGGTTCTCAACCGGTGCTACGCAAGAAAAAATAGGTGGTATGCAAAGAAGCAAAGTACTTTTAACTATTAAATTCAAAAATTAAAACCCCAACATTCTGATTGAGTTATTTCTCCAACAATCGTAAATTTATGCGATCTAAGCTTTGTTCAAGAGTGGTGGTGGTAGTAGTAGTTTGTAGTGGTGGTACTACCAGTTTTCAATTTTTGTTTAGATGGTATGCGTTAGTCAAAAGGCTGAGAACCACTGGCCTAGTTGAAAGCTGTTTACCAACAGGGTAAAAGGATTACTTAACACTCAATACTTAAAAACCCAACCTAATTTTCATTCTGGTGAGTGCACCTAAATGCCGCATAGGTAGAAACGCTGCACCTGCTGAAAATTTAAGTTTTAAACACGTAAACGCCGCGGCATTTCTTCAGGAAATTACAGTACTTATTTTAATTTTAGTCAGTATTTATACAAAAAAAAAAAAAAAAAAAAAAAAAAATTGTAAACATACTCAGAAAAACAAAGTACTGAAAAAATTAACATCAAACTATGTAAATTCAATAAACCTTGCATCAGCACTAGAAATAGAAGATAGGTTTAGTTATCCATTGTAGAAAAAAAGGTATGTATTCTTTTACTTGTGGGTATTTTTCTTAAATAATTCTTTCAAATATATTTAAATGTGCTGCAAAGTATGTGTGCATGTTTAAATTTTGGATGCTTTCGTCTGTCTGATGTAGCCAATAATTAATTTATGCAAAATTCCAGTAAATGTTTTTCTGTGCTCCATCTATTCAATTTCTTATAACTTAATTAAGCATATGTATAAAATCTGAAGCTATATTACTCATTATTTAATTCAAATATTGTAGGTTTTGGGAAATTTCATTGCCCGTGCTGTTGCCGATGATTGTCTGCCCCCAAAGTTTGTTCAAAGTTATAAGGGCAAAGTAGAGTGCATGCATGCAAGGTATTACATTTTTCATCTTTTATATGCAAGTTACTGCAAATTTGTGCAATTATTTACATTGGTGTGTGGCAAGTATTGAAGGTAGGATGCAAAGATTATAATTTTTAAATCTTTCTCTGCTTGAAATAGAGCTGCTTTGGAACATGCTGATGCTCTTTTGAGTATGAAACATGGACTAGTGCGTTTGGATAATGTATGGGGCGTTGGTGGAGGCATGAGGCCTGTGAAGTATTTAATCAACCAGGTTTGTTGATATTTATTTCTTTAGCAGCATTTTCATTATCAAAATTGTTTATTTTGTATTATGATATTAAAATATAAGACTGGTGTTTATACATTTTTGTTATGTTAAGGAAGAAAAAATTATCTGTGAAAGTACTTATCTGTGAAAAGTGTAATTCCAAATTTTTTTAAATTTTTGCTATTTTGTTTTCAGACTGTTTAATACTTAAAGCTATTTTAAAGAAGAAAAATGCATTGCTTATTAATAATCATTTTCCTTTATTGTTATATTTTATTCAAAATAATATATACCCAATTGTTTAAATGTTATGGTGTGAATTTTTCATTTGATAAATATTTCAGATGCATCTGCTACTGAAAGAATATATATGTTCGGGTGATAGTTCAGAGGCATGCCGTTGTATACAAGAGCTTGAAGTGCCCCATTTTCATCATGAACTTGTGTTTGAAGTGAGTTTTATAATCATAATCCATTTCATATGAATTTTTTAAAATTATTTCAAGCTACATCTAGTTATTTTTTTATCGATGTTATTCAGAATAAACACTGTGGTAACATTTAAGAAACCAATAGTTTGTTTGAGGTTAAAATGTGACTGATTTTACTTCCCTAAATTGTTTTTCTTATTGTTATAGGAATATTTTGGAAGTACTTTTACTATAAAAAAAGTTGTAAATTTTACATAGCTGTTGCCACTATGGATTTGAACCAGTATGGATTTATTACACCTCTTTTGTGTTTATGCAAATATAAATCATCGTTCTTAAATTGTTAATCAATTATGTTCTATGTGTGTGGGATTTAAGTAGCATAATATTATTACAAATATTGATTTGTGTACCTTAAAATGAATTTATAATTTTTATTATGTTAAAAAACGATAAAAGATTTATTATTGATGTTTCAATTAATTTGTAATAACCTGATATTTTATTATTAAATGTACAGGCTGTAATAATGGTTATTGAAGATATGCGGGAAAAAACAATGGATCTTATGTGTAAGCTTTTCCAGGTTTTGGCATCTAGTGTTATCGTTACCCCTGATCAAATGACAAGGGTATGTTTTGAGTACTTGATTTTTATTATGTAAGAAGTATTTGATTGAAATAAAATCTGAATTGATTTTTTTTTATTCAGAAAATATTAACTTTAAAAGTTCTGTAACATCATAAAAGTTTTAAGATCAGCTGTATTTAATTCAAGAAGCGATATTACTAAAAATTTGGGTAAACATTTTTTAATTTTGTGTGCTCATCAAGCTTCTCTAAATAACTGCAGAAAGCAATGAAATTTGTATATTGTAGAAATGTCATTACCACACTTCAATATCAATTTTATAGTTAACTTAAAATGTGATTTGAGCACAGAATAATAAAAGGATTCTGATAAAGTATTTTACGCTGTCTTATAAAGTCTTGTTCTTCCAGTGCTTTGCACATATTCTAAATAATAACTTGGAAAATTTTGTCAAAATTTAGATTTTATTATCAATGTCTTACACAATCTGTAGTAAAAAAATATATGCATCCAGAAAGAATTGAGTCATAGCTACGAAACTTGGCAGTAGTACGAGTAGATAACAAATTATCAAAAACTGGGGTAAAAAAAGGCATTTCATTTATGAGTAACAAGAAAAAGAATGTGAAAATCAGTAGGTAGTAAAGCGCCCTGGTAAATATACAGGCAGGTACTCAAAGTCTATCAAGTTTCCAATGGCACTATAATAGATTGTGCCACAAATAGAGCAACTGATCAGCAAGTCCGAATGTATAAGTACATGGCTGAATTTGCTTGCCCAGCATGTCTTAAACATGTCGATAGGGATAGGTTTGGAGACCTGACAGGACAGTCGAGAACATTAGCATGTCAAAAACATAGTCGAATATTGTGCTGAATGTATCCAAGTTTTATCCTGCTGAAAAACAGAACCTGGATGACCTGCTAGCATGCGCAGTGAGAGTACCTCGTTGCACAACTAGTGGTGAATGGCTGTCCCAGCTGATCACTCCCTAGTCTGTTATATCTTGTGTTCTGGCTGTATGGCAGTCGGTAACCAATCGTACATAGGACTACTCACCTCTCTGTCTCCAGACACATTTGAGTTAGTCATCCCCATAAGAAAAAAGTATAATTTGTCACCAAGATCGCATTTCTCCAGGAAGACAATATCCAGCTTGAGCTAAAGTACCACCATGCAAGACAACACTGCTTATATAATTGAGTGCCAATGGCAAGCAGGCGTGTTAATGGACATCGAGATCTGGGTGCAGCATCGCCTAGTCTTCTGCAAATTCTAACCTTGGATGCCCCGGGATCCCTGGGAGTTAGCAAATGGCATTGAATCGATAATAGCATAATTGTTGGTATGGACGTGGCAGCTCTTCGAATTGCATTATCGTCTCATGCATTGGTGGCCCAGAGATGTTCCGAACCACAAACTGTGCATTTTCTGAGCCACTAGATCCAGCAAGAGACAACCATATCGCTTCGACCAATGTGCTGGGCAGTCTGCCCTCTCAAAGTCGGACAGCTGGTTTTAGTGCTGTCGAGTGTGTCTTAAAGGTAGTTGTCAGCACGGTTGTAAGTACTTATCACTCACTATACCTGCCCTTTCACATTCAACCAAGTGGGCATTTAGACACGTGTTGTATCGCTCCATAATGCTGACTGGTGCTACAAGTTCTATCAATTACAGAATTCACCAAACCACATTTGTGTGCCATGTTTCGTAGGTGTGGCTCAATTGTTTTCTTCGTGCGAATATATTTTTGCAACAGAGTGTATATTGAGAAAACTGAGCTAATTTCTTCTAGGATCAGTTGTCCATTTGATCTAAATATCCTGATAAGGTCTGAATCATTTATTGTTAATCATCCATTAAGCTGTGATCAGCTTCAGGTTTGTTTGGGTTTTGAGGTTGTTTGTGCACTTTATCCAATTTTTGTGATTAATTCCATTCAACTGGATGAGCTGAAGGTTCAATTCAGGTCTGGCTTTTTACAGATTTGAACATGGGTCATTTTCATTAAAGAATATGAAGATAATGTGCTAATTATTTATATTCCTTCCTGTCCAAAGACATTTGTGAAAGATGAGAGGATTACACATTAATCCAAGTTAGCTGTTGAGTTAACATAGAGTAATTTAGTTCATGCCCATATTTTACAACAGTTTGCCTTGTGGTTATCTATACAAATGAAAGTCAGACAGAATTGCTTGTTGTTATAGTACATTACTGAATTTTAGCAGAAACGGGCAAAAACAAGCATTGTAACGTAAGACGTACTTTTTAATAAATCGTTATACATTCAAATATTTTACTTTTGTATTTAATGTAGATTACAATTTCTAATTTATGAAGAACAGATAAAAGTATAAAATGTTGCAACCACTTATCTTGTTTGCCCTCATATTTCAAGTGCAGTTTTTTTAATGGTATATTCTTCCTTTTTTCATTTTAAAATGTTCAAACTGCACTTTACGCATGCCTGATTTATGTACTCGTACATGTGGCTGTGTGTTTCTTATAAATGCGAACTCACATATAAAAATTTTTTGGATGGCGAAAGGAAGACATTCTACTTCCAGGGTTTGTACAGTCCTTAAATTTTTTTTAATCAATTTTTGGTCTTTAAAAGTCCTTAATTTTAGCCAAAATCAGCAGAAGGTCCTTAATTTTAATCATCTGAAATTTCTGTCTGTTTTTATGGTTGCCATTTTGAGTATGAATTAGCATTTTAGAAGAATATTTTTGGCAATTCACTGACGTATATGGTTATCTTTTGAATGGATTCATGGGTTATAATTTGTTTCTATTTCTAATATAAATCATGGAATACTCGAGTTTCTAAGCAAGAAGTGAAACATAAGCATTTTGAAAATCATTTTTTGTAATAAAGAGCTCTTAAACAAATTTCACTTTTGGGGGATGTGAATTCTTTTATTAAACGGTTCTAAATTTGGCGACTTGTCGACATTTTGGCGATTTTAAGAGCAGTTTCTATAGAAAATTTTTAATTCCGAGATCTGAGAATTTTTCTACAATTTTTTTAACATCATAACATTGATAAATTTCATTAAAAAATGGTATTATATTGAAATTATATTTAAAAAAATTACATTAAAATAAAACATTTTTATTTCTTGCTGTCATATTATAAAGTTTCATTTTGGCAACATGTTATACAAATATTTTGAATCTGAAAAATAAACAAGGTATAATGTTATAAAGCATAATTTACAAAGCAACTCTTAGCAAAATCAAAATTAGCTATTTAATTAATTAAAAATGTCTTCTTTTTAATTTTTTCATAATAAGAGTTTTTCCCATGTAATTGTCTCAGAATATGCATCAGTTTTCTCTATAAAATTAATTTTACACTTTTTCCCTCCCTTTTTTTATCCAAAATATTTCTGACTTTTTGCTGTTACACAATTGGTATGGATAATTTTTCTTTAGCATTTTAGACATTGCAGCTTGGAAAGTTGAGAAGGATTTAAAGGCAAGATTTATAGACCCACGATTCTAGAAAATTCAAGAAATATGTGACAAAATGAAAAATGTTCAACACATGACTAATGTATTTTACAGAAAGTTTGCGATAAATTTCTTACTTTTTGGAACGTCTAGAAGAACAATGAAAACATAATATTTGAATGTTTTACTCCTGATACTAGAATCTTTTTCTTAACATGTTTATCTTCCTTTTATTTTCTCTGCTTTTCACTAGACACAAACATGGAAAATATCAAAATCTAATCTTATCACTTGGGCAGGCATTATAGAAAGGGATTTTTTTAGTAATCAAGAAACTGAAAACTTACAATTTAAAATATTCATCTAATATGTCTTAATGCATCATACATAGAGCTGGTACTAGGCATTTTCCCACCTGATGCTATCTATCTCTGTGGATTCTAAATTCTGCCTTCTAGTACCTTTCTAAATTCTGCTTCCTAGTACCTTTCTAAATTCTGCTTCGCAATGCCTACTCTAAATTCTAAACGTTTTGCCATTTCTAGATTTTGTTGTTCGGTGTGTCTCTAAATTCTAAAAATTCTGCCACACTAGCTCTGTAACTGGATTTTCCCATATATATTTCATATTTCTTCTGAATGCTCATATTACTAAAGAAATAAAATTAGCCACTTTCTCTATACATTCTAAATGCATTTAGGTGTTTTTAGAGAGTAACAAAAAATCCTTGAATTCAATCCAAAAAATTCTAAAATGAAAAGGAAAGCGTGTTGAAAGAAAGAAACTGAATACATAAAGAAAATTATTCTTCAAAGATATGTTGTTATGTAAATTACCCAGTTATACATATTATTATGTAAATTACCCAAGTTGTTTATGATTTCAGCCTTTACTATAATTTCCCATTTCTATCTTCCTCATATGATAAGAGTTGCTGAGCCAGATTAAATTTAATTAAATTAGTATAATGCTCTGGTAACACTAGTCCACATTTTTAGTTTGAATTTGACTGTTCTTGATTAATTACACGTCACTGCATGAGCTGTAATTGATTTGGTTAGCATCAGAACATGCCATTTATGTTCTAAGTTCTTTTTAAATTAGAAGGCTTATTTAAACCTTTGTCTGACTATTGTAGTTACTTTCAGACATAGCGATAATGATAATTTGCTTCATATCTGTTGGGGGGTTTGGGGACTATTTAACTTTTACCAGATCAAGTAAATCCTCATAGGCACATTGTGGAGAGTTGACAGGTTAGGAGATAAAGCTTGCACGGAAAAAAAAAAGTGAGCGAGATCACTGTTTTTGTGTAATACTGAGACAAATTCTCTGATTGTTAGAAAAGATGCCTTAAAGAGAAGGAAATCGATATAAACTAGCCAAAATGTTTGGTAAGGCTTCAAATTAAAATGACGAATAAATATTTTGTTGAGTGTTGCTGTTACAAAACATAAATGTTTTGTAGCTTTTAATGTGTAATAATTCTAATATCATTTAAAAATCAGTGTCATAAATTATATGTATTTTAAACTGTAAAATTTTATTAGATTTTGATTTTAATAGGGCTTTTTTTAACA